CTCTCTCTCTCTCTCTCACTCTTTTCTTTTTTTTTATTCATATAACAATTCATATAACAATTTTGTTGCTTTTATTTTTTCTTCATTCGCCAGCTGGTTAACTGATGCCTATAGTCGTAACGCTATAGATATATTATCTATTGTTAATTGTATAACATTATCAACTCAGGAATAACTTCTTCCGTACAATCATCGCTCTGTCCTTTCAATTAATTTACATTGCTTATGTAGCGTTGACTTTTTAAAGCCGGGCTTCCTACGAACCAATTCATTCCGCCATACATCCTTAAGGGTATTGTTTAGATTTTTCTGACAAGTTTTGATAAAAACTTTTATCGTTTCAACACAAACAAATGATGAAAATAAGAAACTAGTTTGCTTGTTTCATTTTGACGTAACAAAACTTATTAACCTTATTAAAGCATATTTTCTTCTTCTATAAATAATCACCTGCTCTTTAATCCTTTATTTCTTTCTCCTTGTTCTACTATTTAAGAATATTAGATTATCTCGTTTCACCTTCAACTGTTCTACCCATGTCTGAATCCATGTTTTTCAATTTTGTTTTTTTTTTTTTCTTCTATTTTTCAACTTTAAAATATTCCCTAATATTCCCTAATATTTTGCGATCATTTCTATTACATGAGATAAGAGAGAGATTTGTGGTAGCATATAACTATCTTTTATTAAAATGAGAAATTTATAATGGAAAAGCACTTCGTTTTGGAGTCCAAATAGTGGATTAATTGATATTAAAATACTTGTTTAAAATCGACGACGTTGCTACATTTGTGCAGATAACAGAAATAAAGTTTACTAAAAAGAGATTTGTTACAAAATATTCGAAATAACACATAAGTTATAGGATTCAGTAACGGCAAGGTAATAGAAATTACAACAATTTTTTCTGTTCATATCAAGGCGAACACGAAAGAATGTGAAGAAAAATTTAACTTTACTTCAAATTGCAATCATTCGCAGTTCAAACGCATCAGTATTCTAAGCAATAAACTCACGAAAGTATAATTTTTGCTCTCTAATGTTATAAATATTTAATATATTTGCAGCTGTCCTTGATGTTTTTCAACAGCAATTCTGATTTTCTTCTTCTTTGTATACAGAAATTTTCATTATTAGTCAGAGAAGGAAACTCTTGATTAATGCTAAGATTTTCTATATATATTTACGATGAAATTTCTTATATTTAAACTTCATTTTTCTTGATGATACTACTGTTGCTTGGAATAGAATCGAAATAGAAAGAAAGTGTCTTAGACTTAAGTGGATTCTTTACATAAAATATTCGTGTTCTTGTTCTTATTCTTGTTGTTCTTGTTGTTAGTTACTTCCTTTTATAAAATTTCTTACAATTTCTATACAAAAATCTTACCGAAAGACGTAGAAGATTATAAAGAAGAAAATAAATGCTGCCACTTTTACAAAAAATGTTAGCTGGCAGTGCTTATAAAATTTCCACCTTCACATACATATATATATATATATATGTTTATAAACATGTACATATATATATATATATATATATCTGACTGGCATATAATATATACCTATTTATATGTATATGTATATTATATCTGACTGGCATATGTACACGTAGTAGTTTATATAATATATATATATATATATATATATATATATATGCGTATGTATGTAAATACTTACATTTAACACGTAACGGCAGTTGGTTGCTGACAGTTTCTCCTTCATCATTTATGGCGCTGCATGCATAATTTCCTGCATAGTGTTTCGTTATTTTTTGCAACACCAAACTCTGATTAGAACGTATTACGCGCGCTGATGTGTTATGCTCCAGGTGAATACCCTAACAAAGTTAAAAAATTTATTTACAAAATAAATGAAAGAAAAAATATGATAAAAAATATGAAAAAAAGCAAGAAGTAAATGTATACACTTTCAGGCATTCATTTATATGCATACTTAAAATATATTTATATATATATATATATATATATATATGTATTTGTATATAAATATATATATGTATGATACAAACTTTAATATATTATTTTGACTAAAATTTGCAAAGACTTAAGTTTTCAAGCATATTTATATATACATTAGTGTTTTTGCAGCTATTTTTGCTTTGTCTACTTTGTAAATTACTTTAAACTAAAACGTGAATCGCTTAGAATTGTAAGCAGACCCGATTGTGGCGCATACGAGACGCGAACTATCATTTGAATTACTCTTTAGTGCCGCTAAGATATTTTTTTATACTATTTTGCGCGATATTCTCAAAACTTCATTTCCCAAAACCGTAGCTAAGTTCCCGTTAATTAATCGAGATTCATCTCCGTTTCGCTTCCATTTTCATACACGATTGCATATTAGGACTTTGACTTGCGTTTAAACTTTTTCAGCGGCATATTCATACTCGGTTAAGCATATCACGGTGTGTCGGCGTTTTACTGCGACGCACGAAAGCAGCAAATACTGAACGAAACAACTGAAAATATATTTTCCCAGTCGATTTTGACGCAAGTATGAATGGACAAAAACAAATTTACTTTTTTCTCTTTGCTAAGAAGTTTGCTCGCGTTCTAACTAACTCTAATACTCTACAAATATTGTATGCAATTTAACGTTAAATATAAAGCCTTGCTTGCTAGCGAGCTTCAAGACCTATTTATTGGATGAATTGCTTAACAAACACATTTTTGAAAAAACTGTTTCTTCGCGGAATAGTCTGGTCACCCTGTTATATGCTCAAAATATTATTATATGTACGCAAACGTACATATACACATGTATATTTATAAATATACATATGTATATATGAGCATTTTTTTATGAAAATTACTAAATGATGTGCTTTCAAGTTTATCGAGGCGAATGAGTGTTAATAATTTGGATGGGTTTCATTAAAATGTATTAAAATAATTGGTTTCCACTATTCGAACCACTTTCTATATTTTATGAATGATAATGAATGAATGAACGCTAATGCTATACATTGGAAAGGAGCAGAATTGTGAGAAAATCATAAAATCTGTTGGTAGCGTATGATGCTAATAGACTTTTCAGGAAGGCAAGAGGCTTATTGATAGATATTTCATGAAACTTTTAAACCGCATGGAAAGGTTTCCGACTGAGTTCAATTTTTGTAATTTTAATTTTAAAAACAAAAAGAAACAAATATCATTTAATTTATATTCCTATAACTACATAAGTACATGAAATTTTTTCGATATATTACTTTCCGTCCAATTGACGAGGATTTAAACAAATAGAGTTCAGTTTTAGACTGAAAAGGAGATATTTTTTCATTAAAGAACACGTAGAAAAACTATAATGAAACACCGAATACCGTTAACAAACCCACACAACTTTACTAAATACAGTTATTCATATAACGGTCTATATAATGTAATATAGTGTTCTATAGGATGCGGTTGAAAAATTATTGCTTTTTGAACTATTTTCAATAGTGTTCGTCTTTGGGCCAAAACAAGTCCAAATTGTATCAAAATATTTAAAAACTCAAGCTTAAATATAGTAAAACAAAATAGGCAGACAGAGAGACAAGCTTATATCTATTCAGAACAACTTTCTGAATAACCTTCCGAATCGACTAGTATGACAAGAGATGGGTCAACATCAAATTCCTGTTGATTTTGCATACATCCGCACAAACTTAGTATACGCTGCTACCATATATGATGAGTGGATTTAAATTAACTCATTCAAAAACTCCTATGTATTTTTGCAGAATAAGCCGTTCTAAACGAGCTATACAAATTTCAAAAGAAAAACATATATACATAGGGCATATTCAAAAATATCAAGAAATCAAAAACTCATACCTTTTTGACAATTTAAAATTCTGCTAAGCCTACAAAAGTCTTTTTATATCATTCTAAGGCAATAAAAGGAAAACTCAAAGCATGCTACACAAAGGTTGCAATTGAGATCATTTCTTTGTGCTTTATGGTACCATTTTCAAGTCGTCGACAACCTGCTTTTCAATTTTTTTTTATATATCACCTATGTCTGTTTTTTTATTATCACTTTTCCTTTTTTTTTTTTTTTAAATTTTTCTGTTATTTAATTTTAATATAGGGATTGCAGCTATTGATATCGCACCTAGCATAGCCACATCGCAGAAAAAGCTATGTTTTATATAAAAAGTTTCTTCAGAGCAATTAAAAAAAAAAAAAAACACCAATGGCAACTGTATTAAAAAATACTTTCTAAACAGCATGACTGTAGAATAAATACAATGCGTCAAAATACGCAAATATAACGTCCGTTGCCAAGAGAAGAAAAATTGTTTACATTCGTTAAAAAAACGCCCTTACATACGCATTGGGTGGGCAAACGCTTATAAATTGACCTTAGCAACCTTGATAGGCTTTTTCTATCATTTTGGCAAATTCAAATTGATTAGGAAAAACCTTTCATAACGCATGAGCGCATTTTCCATCTACTTAGAATGGTAGCGGCGTCCTTTTTAAACAATGTTTTATATTTTCAGATCATTTAAAATTCTCTTTTCAATATACAGAAAGATATTTGGAAATCTTATGACTTAGTACAACGAATACAAACACAATGGTAGCTCACGGTAAATCACAAAACACCGTACTGCATTCATTCATTCATACAAGGGATTCCGAAGGTAACGCGAAAAATTAGTGCGTTCCGAACCATTTTCGCTAGTGTTCGCCCTTGGGGCAAAACATATCAAAGGGCTGAGGCGTGTAGGTTCAAAACGAGACAGAGAGACAGACAGACGGGCAGGCGGACAGGCAAGTTTAGACCTGCACTATGGGTCTTTCTCAAGTGCACCTGGATGTGGCAGACATCCGCACAATACACTCTTGTCCCGCAAGTGGTCGAGAGTATAAAAAACCGCAGAGACAAGAATGTAGAATCGTAAAACACACAAAACATTAGTAGATCTTATGCATACATTGGCTTTTAAATGCTTTATCAATCTCTTTATTTTTAGCAAAAGCGTAAAACATAAATAAAATGTATAAACTTACATTATGTAACCATAAGAGTTTCCGCCATTGAGGATTTGATTGTACATGACATTCAAAATACACATCATCGCCTTCTTTAATATCGTCCGGGGATAATGTCGAGCCTAAACGTAGGGTAACTAAAGGTGGATCTGTGTGAGAAATAAAAAACATATATAAATGAATACAAGCATTACATGCGTTAAGACATGACAATATACGTAAGCAATCAGTTATTATGAATCGGTAGAAGAAAAATCGGCTCATGAAAGGATAAGATGGAAAAGCTTACCGTCATTCGATAAGTTCATGGAATTCAGATATGTAGACCCACTAAATCAATTGCAATCTGCAAATTAATGATCGGAATGTTTTGACAAATTTCGTTTTGCATGAACCATATCGATTCGTCAATATTCATTGTACATCTGTACATCACCCTACAAACGTACTAATGTATCATGTTATATTACCTAGTTAAGGTAAAGAAGAGGATAAAGAAATACTTTTACAATTAAATGATATAATAATGAGTTGCAAGTCGGGCACTTAATCAGAGAAGCCGTCTAACAAACGTGCCTTTTTTATGTGAATAAATAATGAATCCAATTACGATGGTAATGAATAGAGGACAATCAAATTCGCAATGTAGCCACGAAGTCTTGGGTAATTTTATCCTTTTCTGTTCTGTTTGCTGCTTGCAATCTTTAAGTGAGACGAAAACTTTTAAAAAGAAAATGCAGATTAATTCCCCAAACAGCATTGCCGTAACGATTTCAACGTTTGTCTTAGTTTGTAATTCTCTTTTTAACGATTTTGCATTAACCAATCAATCAATTTTACCCAACGCATTTGCAATTTGTGCACGTGTATCTGCTGCTACTAAAAGAGTACAAAAATAAAAAATAAAAAAAATAAAAAACAATTTACTTTAGTTAGCAAATCCAACCTACGTTTTCGAATGTCATTGCCTCTTGATTTGTTAACATTGGAAACGAATCTGAACGTACCGTACTTGTGTAATGATCTTAATCAATGGCAGCAATAGTCACACCTTTTAATTTATTGCAAGAATTCTTTAAAACGAAATACATTGATTGTGCAACAGTTGGACTTTAAATGAAATGTTTCAATTAAATTCTTTTTTTTTTTTTTTTATCCTTTTTTTAATTAGTATTTTAAATGACATAAAAAAAAAAAAAAAAACATATTTATTGCCAAGAATTTCATGACAGGTTGCGTTGGTTATTGAATGAGAAAACAATTAGCGTAAATTTGTTTCTTTCAAGCATACCATGAACGCGTTTTTCTGAAACTATATTGACTTTGGTCGGTTTGTGTTTATGTTCAATTTTCCAAAATCTAATTAAATTAAATCCTGTAAAAAAAGTAAACGTAAACGAATACAATTTTACGTCTATTGTTGACTAACTTGCTTTTGAATATATTTTCTATACCAGAAGAGAATTTTATTGTTATTAAATAATTTCCGTTATCTGTTAGTGGAACTTTACGTGTGGCATATATTTTGCAGGAGATAATTTTTAATTTTTCACCTCAATCTAACCCAAATGTCAACTCGACATTTTCTACGATCCATGATCCACCCAATCGAATGGTAAAGCATAATAGGGCGGTTTATATCATTTTTGTCTGTCGGAGTGTTCGCGGAGTGTAGGGCATGCCGCTTATTGATTAGGCAGACAGTCACTAGGTTGCAGCCTATCCCTTTCTTCTTCTCTTTGTACCATTTTTTGTATAGGGCACATCATCTGAATGCTGGATCACATTGAATCATACCGAGATGTGTCAGTCTGTCACAGCAATTATTTACAAAATCATCTATCGAGGTTTTTAAAAAACCTTTTATTTTTACATTTCGGAACATTTCTCGTCGTTTGATTCAATTTTTTGCTTTACGGTAGAAAGGAAAGTTTTTAAGAATCGATCTTTCTCTAGTTAGAGTGATTGACATTCGTCAAGTATTGAAAAGGAAGATTACGCTTACTTATCAGACAGACGGACAACTCTTGCTGTTGTTGTGTTTTTTTTTTTTAAACACACTGTAATTTGCCTGCAATGAATGAGAGCATTAATGTTGTAATCCGCTTTTAATACTAAATACTAATTATATATTTTTATCAAGGAAAAAACACACATTCACTCATTGCATTAAATGCAAAATTCAGAGTAATAAACATAATGTGTTCTTTTAACAGCACACATTTACGCTCACCCTCTCTTATCACTGACCGTTTTTATAATCTTGCGTTTGTTCTTTCTTTTTGCTTTTTTCCTTTTAATTAAAGGTTACTCATCGCATACGCAGTGACCTAATTAACTGTGTGAATGCACACATACACACATGTGTGTGCAGTGCTTAATCAGGACATGCGATAAATTTAAAATTATGTATATATGGGCGCGTATGTGTGACCAATATGCGTGTATCGACATTTCAGATTAAAAATCGATACAGAATTAATGGTTGAGCTGCATTAATAACATATAATATTATTTTATGTGGTCCTGATTATAACTCCGTTAAATATCGCATAAAATAAATTATGAGGTATTTTTTTAATTTTGACGGTACTTATGCTGCTTCATAGTGTGGTTATTTAAATCAGAGATGACTAACTTTTATAAATAAATTTAATCAAAAACACTGTAAATAATTGCAGTAAATGACATTCTCATTATTATTACCCAACGGTTGAATCTTGATGTAAATTTAGGTCTAAATAACTAAAGGAGGAACAAAGCAAGGAACGTTCTTGGAAGCATAGAAAGGGAGGCAGCCACTCCCTACTGGAAAAAATTTACATATTGCTGTACCAGGTCTAAGATACTTGCAGCAATTTCTTAACATTAAAATTTCCTTCAAAGTAAAAGCTACACACAACTACATATAAGAACATGAAGAACATAGTCTTGAAATAACTTCTTCTGCTTCCAAATATGGATGGGATGTTATTGCTTGTGGGAATATATATTGCACTTGTGTAGCGTTACTTACATACTACGTTTAATTTCCACATGGTCTCTAAATATAAGCCGTTAACATTCGGATTTTCAGCTCGACAAGTTATCGATTTGCCATCATCATCTGTCGTTGGTACAAAACTTAACTCGGATCGCGTGGTATTATTCGATATTTCATCCTGGAAAATATTCAAAAAAAAAAAAAAACATTTATACATATATTTATGTATTTCACTATGCAATACAATTGTACAGTAAAGTTTTTTCTTTCACTGTATGCAGACTGAAATGTATTACATTTTTATATAAGATATATGTTTTCAAAGTTACGTACATGAATATATGTTTGTGAGTAAATATAAAATCATATATAAACAGTAACATCTTGTAGAATCACCACGTTTCATATGCACGTTTCATAAAAAAAAATACGCCGAGGATCTCAACTAAATATTGGTAGAAAACAGTATAGAATGCAAAAAGAGGCGGCTATTTAGATACTACATGAATTAAAAGTGAAAAGATTGTTTGGACCAAATCGCTGTTGAAATGCAACGATGAGGTTGATGCTGTACGGCAAAAGGTATGTTGTCTCCTGACCAATGATGAATGAAGCTACATAAGCTGATTCAACCTAAGCAGGGGACTGTATCCTCTCTCATGTGTCATCAACTAATGCAATGCTTGCAGTTGATACGAACCGTTCAGAAATTATCTGACGAAAATGTAAAGCCTTTCATCGCAGCAATACAAAAAAAAATTTGTACTGAGAAGGAAAAAATTGAGAAACCTTAAGCGAGAAGTTTTGATGGGTCCAATGTACAACTCAGTCGTTACCCAGTTTGACTATTTCTTGCTTCGTTATCTACAAATCTTTCTTAATGATTTCATAGAATGTCTGCGAAAATCCGTTGATTCAATTTTACGTCCAGAAATTCTAGAAGTTCTACGATAATCGCATAATGACTTCACCAGGAAAACAGCAGAATGTTTATCAATGAAAATTACCTTTAATAAAAGTGCTTATCGCTGGACACTGGTCTGTGTTTTTTATTTTAATTCTATCGAAAAAAGTAACCATTCGCCTCAAAGGCTTGAGTTCGAAATGCTTCATAAGTTTATATCACTTTGGAAAATCTATGGCTTAGGATCATGAGTCGTAAATTTATCACTGGTAGCGATGTTTTAAATGTTTTTTTTTAAGCAATACGACTGAATCTTTACAATTTTAAATTCAGGTCTGAGAGAATTTTTTTATGTGAAAGCCACGCTAGCCCAGTCCAAATTTATATTTAATAATCATTTACTTACCATTGACAAGTATCTGAAAATGGAATATATTCGTCAAAACACATATCCTTAATATTTGCAACACAAGTTAAATGTTTAGTGGTTCATGTAATCGTCGATCAATCATATAAAGCGATATGTGTAATGTACGCATTGTTGCTTAATTAATGGAAGTTGTAAGAAAATTTCGTTTAAAAATGCTCATGAGTAACTTCAGTATTCACAATATTTTTCGTCATAATCTATAGCTCCTTTAGCAAACGTACAAACAAAGCTAAGTCGTTCTTGATTTGAATTAAAGATCGTTCGAGAAAGGCATGAACACTAATAAAGTTGTAACTGCATTCCGGTTCTATGTCGATGGATGCAAAGACGTATTCCCTGCAGCAATTCTAGTCTTCTACTCTACGGCAAATAAATCATTGTTGCAAATAAGACATTGTACGGCAGTATATTATTAGGCAGTGTTGCCCCCAGCACGAACTGGACGACATGATAATTCCTTCCTTATTAATTCACATCCATTGTTTTAGTCATATGTGTTGGGAAACTTCCCATAATATTAGTAAATTTTTAATGTGCATGTGTGCTTTTATCTCCTCTTTGTTTATGTACTTAAGGCTTCTCGTTATCTCAGAGAGAATTTTATTCGAAGGAATCCATTTACTTAATTTTTTTGTTCTCCTAAAAAGCTAAACAAGTTTTTGCAAATAAGCTCAAGTTATCGATATTCTTGTAGAACCTTAATCTCCAAGAAAGGAAAGAAAAATCTGCTTGTAAATACGTAGAAAAGACATAGTTATGTAATAAGAGAAGCCATACAATAGAGTACACATTAAATGCATTCGTTGAGCTAGCTACTAAGCAAACCCATGTAAAGCGTTATCTTCATCAATCTAAAACCAATCGCCGAAAGCTAACTAATTGCTTTTTTAAGAGAAACCTCATGTAAATCTAAAACAGATATATATTTAGTGAATATATGGAAAATTAAATTGTTTGTGTTTTACTCCTACTAGCGGCATCAAAAGAATTTTTAACTTAGACGCTACAAATACGAATACAAGATAATCTATTTATCGAAAATATAATAGGTTCATCGGTGGCAAGTTCTGCTAACATATTGCAGCTTTAGCTAAGTAGTAAGCAATAATCTATTCTTGCAATTAAGAAAAGTCAGTACAACCAGTTTATAGGGGTATTTCCTATGAGTGCAATAAATGCAAGCACTATAACTAACCAGTTGAAACTAACCAGGACAAAAGATAAGTCATCAGTCAGAACGAATTGGTATAATAAAAACATTTAAATCACATTATTCCCGTTTACTTTGAAGGTAACGTTGCAATATGACAACAAGACCAGCAATAGTAGCGACAAAGAAATACTAGCCACAACAAAGAAGAAAGGATATAAAATGAAAAAATAAATGTATACATCAATGCCTTTCGTTCGTTCGTTCGTTCGTATTCACTGCCAAAGACAATGGTATAGAAAAATTAAAGTTGAATAGACCGACAGAAGCAGTGACAGAGAGGCACACAAACAGGAAGGGAACAAATAAGGAACAGCAGTAAATAATTGTCATTATGCTCATTGCTGCGATTGCTGTTGTGTGTTATATTCAAAACAAAGAACAATAGTTCACCAACCAACCAACCAACCAACAGAAATTATACACACATTCGTACATAGAAACGAATATGCCGTTATATCAAACATTCCATCGAGATGCCTGTTTGCTGGCGAAGAGAGACTAACGTAGACTTGTTTTGCAAATTGCATGCGACCATCCATAAATATTCAACTTTGGTATGTATGAACAGTGCAAACATAAATACCATCAGTGGGCGCTTATATAAAACTCATTTTACTTCGGACACATGCATATACAAATATCACCTGCAATGCAATGCAAGAGTAACAAGCGTAGGAAGTTGTCGTAGGTTTATAAACCTTAATAGTTGTTAAATGTACAAACACAAAATACACATACATATATATATATATATATATATAGAATGGGTAAGAATTCATTTTTATTCTTATGCAGCGTAACATCTTAACTCATACACATATGAATTGTGTGTTTTATGTTTGCTGTCTATGGCTGGCTGAGTGACTGGTCTATTGTGGATAGATTTCTATAAGCTTGTTATAATGTCCTTACTTACTTTAGTGCGTCGCAATTGACGTTTGCCTTTATACCAGGTAATAATGGCATTGGGTCGAGAACCCGTTGATTCACATGTAACTTCATAACGTCTATCGGCAACCATCGAGCTGGGTGGTTCAATTATTTTCACTTCAAGCGGTTTTACTATAAAGCAAAATAAATAAAAACAGATAGCATACGTTTATCGTTCTGTTCACTTTTGTTAATGTTTGTTTATTGTATATATCAATATAAGCCCTTGGCTATGGCTTTGGGCTCCGGCTCGCTTTAACCTAAGGTTTTACTAAGCCTTATACTAATATACTTTTGTTTATATTTAATCTTATTTCTACTCCCACTTCAACGGTTTTTCTTTCTTTCCTCAGCCAGAAACCTAGTATAAATTTTCTTAGGTGTTGAAAGTGGGAGTTTTGCACCTATTTGTGTAAAGCTGTTACAGCTTTTACCAGCATTTTTAGAATTATTTGAAATGTTCTCGTTAAATACTTTGTTGAGTTTAGCAGACAAATTACTTTTGGCATTTGGGTGGAAATGCAAAGAAAAAGCAACATTTAACACAAACAGCCTTAGCAGAGGAAAAAAAAAAAAGAAAAAGTACACACACACACACAACTTTTATTCAAGTTGCACAAAAAAGCAAAGTGCTTTAAACGGAAAGCATAATTGCAGTCGGTTTTATAAATTCTACCTCTATGCTTGTATAATTGTAAAATTGTAAATAATTAACTACAAATTACTGAAGTTTCGCCTCAAGGAAGCAAAACTAAACGTCAAACATTTTCAAACATACTTTGAGATGATATTTAAATTCTAGCAATAATAACACTTTGCTTAGAGTGCTCTGCGAAGAGAGCGGAAAACCCGTATACGTACTATGTACGCCCAGTATAGTAGTATAAAAAAAAGAAATTGCACATTTTTCTCGGCTTTTTGCAATAATTTGCGCCTGAGTTTTGCAACAAATATCGTTTGTTCATGACTATCCGAAAGAGAGTAACAACAAACAATCGTGTGTTTCAATTATTTCGCACCTAACAAGGACTCAATCTGTAGTAATATCTATCGCTTCAAGTATTTTCCTGTATTAATGTTAGACCAAGGCAATAAGATGTACTCTCATCACACATACAACTCAATAAGTTTCCAAGATATATGACATATGATTAGATACAAGTTACATTTATTGGCGAATCCATGCAATTTTCGGTTAGTATCAAGCTTCGCATGAAGTCTATCAAAATTATATAAAATACTTATGGATTTGTGCACCGTCATCCTACATGTATATGTCATCATGCAAACTTATTGAGTGTTGTGTTATGTTTAGAGTGGTTTCTTGCTTGTGGAGGTAATTATTGACTAACTAAAGCAACTTCATAGCTTTGAGTATGAACAACTGAGGGATAAGCACGAAATATGGATCTCATATGTTCAGGGCTTGTCACAGGACAAGCAGGGTTTGATTTTCTTCGTTCCTTTAACTTGAGCTTAAGTCATGATTTTCGTCCTCACGACACTTTCTGCAGGTCTTTCTTTTAGCCTAGAGATCAACAGGTATAACATTAACCCGCAACTTTTATTATTATTATTGGAGACAATCAATCGCTTCGGAGCGTTAGGGGAAAAGCTCGAAACTCTCACAACGAATTTTTTTTCAAGTATTGAACTTTTTCCCACATATTCTAAACTCTTCTCAATATCTATAAAGCAACTCAAAAAAAAAAAAAAATGAAGATTTGCCACACACAAGCACAGAACATTCCCCCGTCTACTCTTACTTATTAAATTACCAACTCCGTGCGTTAATTTCGATATTCGTTCGATATTCCTTACCGCGTACTGATTGTATGCCCTGAACTTCTGGCATTATAAAGGCATGAGCTGAGATGTTACCCGTGCGTAGCTGCTAAGATTTTGGTTTGACTTTATGTCTGTCCGATGAAACTATAAAGCCACAAAAACTAGTAGCATATTTTCTATAGCATTACTGTGCCTTCATCAATCACATTAATATAAATCATTTTTTTCCTTTCCAGCATTTTAGCTGCTCTTTTAGTTTCCTAACTTGCAAGGCGGAAGTTGTAATAAAATCCATATTATAGCTTGTTCTTACTATTGCATCTTAGTTATTCATGCATTTACAAAAAAAAGCAATAGACTTTGCTTTTGTTTTTGAGAAAGTCGATTTCAATCCCCATAAATCTCTTTTTAATTAATTCCTAGAGGCATTTTTCAAACTCTTTCAAAATGCAAAAAAAAAAAAAAAAAAAGTAGAAAAGAAGAAAGCAAGCAAAATTTTTCTAGAAAGCCAGTCAGTCTCACGTTTACATTTTTCTTATTTATTGAAAAATAATGACTCGAGTTAATACGTTTAAAACTTCATTGTAAAAAAAAAAAAAATATACATATATATATCTGAGAACTTGAACACTAACTTATACACATCCAGTGAAGAAGAAACCATAAACCGTTTTCTGCATTGGTGGTATTTTACTTTATGACTGTTTTAGCCAACGAGATGAGAAAAAGAAAGATTTTCACATTTTTTCCCCATCTTGTTAAGGCAGTAGCACTAAAATAACGATTAAATCCAATTTTTCAGCAATCTTTCTTATTCTGTTTTCTTTTTCTTTTTTTTTTTTTTTTTCTTTTTTTTTTCTAGCAGCAATAGTAGATAAAATGTGAAAATTTTGTTTCTAGCACAAAATTTTTCTTTCATTTGGTGTTTGTTGGTTTTTGTTTTTTTTTTTGTTTTTTTGCGCATACGAAAGCTAAGAAAGGAGATGACTTTAATACTTACAATGCATATCCAATATGAAACTTTTCTCTTTGGGTTTATCTAATTGCGTATTCAGTGCCTGGCATGTGAATACCGAATTTAAATCAGTACGTTGAACCGATGGCCATAGCAAACGATTCTCAATAACATCACCGGAATTGTGTTCGTATTGATTGTCGACTAAAAGTCCATTTACAAGCCATCGCACTTGTGGTTGAGGGCGTCCTACGATGATATGGTATGCGTGCGGGTGTGTATATTTTTCCAAGGTTTGACATTGCGGACAAATCATAGCAAACCACCAGACAGAAGTCCAATATGCAGCCAGATGTTGTTATTGTGTATACATTTTGTAAAGAAGAATATAACAAAAGAGACGCAGAAAAAAATTGAATTCGTTCAAATTTGAAAGTAAACGGAGAAGAGATTTAAAGAAAAAAAAAAAAAAAAAAAAAAAATAAAACACACACAAAAAAAAACTTTATAAAACTCTGGTGGTGATTTTCTATTTTCTATATATATTTTACCATAGCGACCAATTTAACTACTAACACTAGTGTTAGTGTTTGTGTGCATGTATATATTATGTACGTATGTATGTGCGTATGTGAAATTTTAACAAGTGAGTGAATGCTGTTAATGCTTTTGGGAAATTAAACGGGAAATTGAATTCTTAAATTACAAACACACACACGTCCACGTAGTTATGAACAATCAATTTAAGCTCATGTGTATGCATTTGCAAAACTTGCATCCAATGCTTAGTTTGTTTTTATTTTTTCTTTCTTTTGTTTTTGCTTTAATCGTCCTTCTTTTCTTTATTGTTTTACATAAGCAATCAGCTGTTACTTACCTCCTACCACACGACACGTTATAACAATATCATCGCCTTCCTGTTTTGGCCCAAGTTTTGTACCATTTAATTGACGACCCCACCTATCCAATATAATGGGCTGCTCTGGAAGAACTAAAATAATAACAACACAACGAGATGAACGAAAGATTAGTGTAAAAAATATTTACAATTTAAACGGTCACGTTAAAGGAAGCGTTTTACTTTTAAAAATCAAGGCAAGGTTTCATAATAAAAAATTAATAATAATTTGGAGGAGAGTTGCTTACACCGGGCAAGGAGAAACTGGGATCCTTGACCTTGCCGAACGTTTATAATTCAATACAAAGAGCATTATATCTACAGAAAGGCTGAGAGAGAGAGCGAGAGAGAGAGAGAGAGAGAGAGAGAGAGAGAGAGAGAGTGATCTTTAACGAAAAGGCGGATATATGAGGAGATTTATGAATTCCTCAGTCAAGAGATTAAGAAATTTGCAGGCCGACAAATATAGGTAGAGATTACTATGAAGCTCAAGCCTATGATTCTTAATCGCAGAACGGAGATTCTCTACGCATTTGATAGCAAGCCAAGCACTTTCAAATTTCGCTGTGAACCTCTCTTATATACATCGCATTTCTCTTCCATGCGTCCCTTTCGACAAAGTTCGAAGATTTCATATACTTTGACAAGCACGTCGCTAAATAAATCCAATAAAACAATTTGTAAAGAATTAATATTAATCCTTATACCGCAGTTTAATATCCTTGAAGTGTATCTTTGTAACCCTCACGAATGCGGTACCGCAAAAGAAATTTACTTGAAAAACTTGTTCTTTCAAAGGTCACCAAACAGAGGGAGAAAAAATGTTATAAAGTTGAGACAAAACCCACAACACAACAATAAGAAAATAAAATAAGAAAAAGTTAAATCTTTTTCCATTTACTTTAAACTAAAATAAATAAACTTTAAAAAAATCCATTCCATAAACATTTAGGTAGGGTCAAAGAGAATTTAAATGAATAAAATATTACATGTCAGTCAATATGTCCCGGGACGAAGTAAGAAGAATTTGGGCTCACTAATTAGCGCCAGTTCCTTCACAAATGATCGAATTAAAATTATAGTTCAGTGTTCGAGTTTATAAATACGCTTCAGTTTTGGAAATCACTTCATAATTCCCTTGAAATCGGTTTTCCTTAAGCAATCTCTTCTGATTTGCAGATAGATCGTACTCGCTATGATGGATAGGGTAGGCATCTTGCTCATGCCGTAAATTTTGAATGCATTGTGCGCTCAGCTCAATAGTGGATACAGTGCCTATTAATATCTTCCGAATACGAATGCCATCGAAAATTTGAGGGTTTTTGTGATGCCGTCAGATGTAACCATGATCCAGCGCATTCAACACGACCTTACGTCCTCGTCTAAAATCAACAAACCATCAACAAATTGTTGTTTTCAATGGAGGAGGATTCTCCTAAGACTTTCCAAATCAATGCTAAGTTTGAAAAAAAAAAAAAAAATGTTTCAGCAAAATTTGAAATACGGATTTTCCCGTTGTTTAAAATCAGTGCCACTAGAAGCACTTGAACTCGTAAACAAATGATCAAAATTGCATAAGATTTTGTTTTTGTTTCCTCTAAAAGTCGGTAATTTCTAGAAATTATAAAAATTTATTATTAAAGCAGACATAAGACAATGTTAATTCCGCAACTTATTGACCAATGCGTTACACTAAATAATGGGGGAAAAGAATAATAAAAATGGACAGAAAAACACGAGGCATATGTAAGAAGCTTTAAAAGTGCACATCACACCCCAAACCATTTTATTTATTCTCAATCGTAGTCCTCGACACTGGTTGGTTACCACAGTAGAGTAAAGCCAAAGTATACAAATTGATTGGAATTTATGGTATCTGCCTGCTTGACTGCTTGCGATGCATAGAAAGTACGTTGTGTCTTAAGTAACATAAATGCGTGCCGCAATTATGTTAACAATGTTGACGACGCAACACACAAACGTTAAAGTATTCGACGATGTGAGTTACAGCAACATTCACACAAATTCGATTTACTTGTTAATGCTCAAATAGCAATCAGCCTATTAGCTTGAAATTATTTGATTTTTAGTCACGTAATAGTTGTAAGATTGTATTGCGCGGTGAACAGCATTGTAGAATACATTGATTATAAAATCAATTGCCTGAAGCAAATGTTTAATATTTAAATACCGTATTACACCAACACATAGCTAAGCAAAACAAGCTAAAGGCCGAAAGGCAAAGCGAACACACAAAAAAATAGAGAAAATATGAACGATTTAAGGGAAATTCTGAATATATCAAAAATCTTCTAGAAAAAGATAGATGCAATGCTTCGATTATATAATCCAACAAAAATGTATTGAAAATATTTAACTTTTAATTATTCGTAAACTTCGTCAAACTGTAAGAGGGGAAAAGAGCAATAAGGTCATTTCTGGTCATTAGAACGCCAGAGAACAACGTCTTTATCATTTCTTTTTTTTTGCTATTGGTATGGACAGCTCTTAACGTGCATGTTTCCAAAGAGCTACGTTCGAAGAAATTCTCGTTCACGAGTATGTTTGCAAGTACGCAACAAAACAAAAATATTTTTCAATGTTTTCTTGACTTAAGCTGACATCTAATCTCGCTTTAACATATTCTTTTGTATAAATCGTGGTAGACAGCAGATGGATCATTTATTATTTTTCTCTTGAAGAAAAGCAAAAAACAGAATTCCTTCCAGCAGAAGTAAGAAAACATTGTAGTATGCATTGTAGTAGCATTCACATACTCGTACATTAAAGCAAACTGTTTTTGTTTTCGATTTTAAGGATATAGTAGAAGAAATGGTATGCATTGTCTATGTAAGATCCCACTTTAAAGTAGAAAATCCGCTCAACAGTAAGTTCTTGTACATTTTCTTGTTAATCCTTAATAATGACAACAACAAGAACATGAAGTACAGTTTGAAAAAATATGATTGTTATATTTCTTCATTATTTGATATTCTTGTATTTTGTTTGTCCTAAATCCATACTTACTTATGACAGATAAATTGAAACGGAAGCTTTGTGTTTGACTTGTACGAAAATCAATGCGGCAACGATAAATCCCCTGATCATGACGTTTGATATCCTGTAAAAAGAAAAAATAAAGAAGAAATTTTCGTAAATCTATCGAAATTAATCAATTGAAATCTTACTTCTCCCTTACACACATATATATATATTCCTTATAGATATTTACGTACATAATATAAATTTCGGCTTTATGTTTACGACAAGCAAAAAAGCCTTCAATTGACCCTATGAAATATGTTAATTTTCGAAGGTTGTTTAGCATGTTCGCTTTCATTTTAGGTTTTCGAATAAATATCGGCATAATTGAAAAATTAATGACTTCACCTTATTGCCTTGTTGTCTATTATTATGCAATATGATGTATTATCGCGCAAACTCAGAGCTTTTTATATAGGACGAGTTTTTTAAAAGAGTCATCAATATATCAGATGCTTTTGCATGCTTTTTGATAATTTTTTCACTTGAAAAAGGCGTGTAATGAGAAAAATTGGTACAATATGTTATATATATATATTAGGTCATATTAAAAAGTCCCCGCAATATCAAGCTTCTTTTCGTAGCCTGCTCTTTTCAAATGATTCGAAACTGTTGTGTTGTGTGGTTGATATTTGATGCCTCTACTTTCCTGACAGCTTGCGTATCTATCTTGCTACGACTACGAAGTGCATATTTGACTTTGGAATTTCCGGAACATAATTTACTCACTACATTCTCACAATTCTTCATCATCATATAGCGTATTATTCAGAAAACTATCTTCGTAAGCTAAAATACTACGTTAGTGTGAGACAACCAAATGAATATTGCTCGACACTATCGCGCAGAAAAGATCGCGGAGAATTTTCATTACGTCCTAATATATTATATTGATCTCATATATATATATATTTATAATTATATATATAATTATATAAACATAATATATTAACTTAAATATATTCCATCATTTTCCACAACTTATCTTCTTATCTCCTTTCTATATTTCGGGCGACATGTCGATTAATATTAATGGTAAAGCCGCTTACGGATAAACAGGTAAGTATTTAGAAATGAAGTAAGTTGAAGAACAAGATTAAAGTGGAAATAACAACCGCTAAAGGAGAACGCGGAGAAGAAAACAACGCAGGTGAGGAAGAGAAACAGTACAAGACGAACTACCTTATAATGATTAACATCTCTTTCTTGAACCATAACACGGTAGGGATGGTCTGTAAATGAAGCAAGATAGAGTTCCAAATGTGAATGACATATATCAAGAATTGAACATTAGACGTAAGTGGACCGTATTACATTACACAACATAATGTAACGGTTTCTGTTTCATTGCTTAAATTGAAGTCTACCTCTATACACGTGTTTTCTTCTAAGGAGGCACAATGTCCTGCAACTGCATCAAACTACAAATTGCCGAAATTAAATGCTAACGCATTCATTTCTTATTAGGCAGTACACATAGTGGACAATAATCTTTATGATTTTATTACGAATTTGTTTTAATGTACAGTGGCAGTACAGGTACTATTTGTATTCATAAAGGGAGTAAGACTGTTTAACAGCGTGAGCTACAAGGATCTAACCATTGTACATATCTTGTCTACTATGCTGTTGATATGATTATTAGAATCTTCCTTTTTTCTTTTATAAACGCTTAGGGAATAGGTGCGAAGAAATAGAAAGGTAGTGGCTGTGTGCCCAAACCGTAAGTGCAATGCCATTACCGAATGGCTACTCATTAGAGCTACGTCCAAAGTGAACTCGACCGCCCTGAGATTTGATTCACTTGCAACGACTTGGCAATCGCAATTCTTATCTATTCATCTACTCTTGCGGATAGGTTAAAACCCTTATAAATATTTTACTGTTAACCTGATTGGTGCAAGTTAAAAATCGATTGAAAGTTATCCACAGAGTTTTCATCATTTCTTATATTTTGACATCAGACTCCATTACTTCACATCCGATCGTTTATAGGTAGCATTAAATACAGTTTTCGGTGGGCTTAACGAAAGACCATTAATATCTAACACACTAAGCGACGCTTTCGAGATCATCGTTTAGTTTTATCGAACAGGTATGAATATCGTGCAACAGACAAGTGATATGTACTTATAGATAACATGGAAAGTCGGTCGTGTATAGTAACAGTAATAGTGGATCAAAAGTGCATCCTTTTGTTTCTCCTTGCTTTACATAAAAAGCGACGGGCCGGTAACGTTATCGGCAAACCCACTTAGGTATCGATTTGAAAGGTACAACAATGCAAGACTATCCTCGGAGAAGGCAAAATTATATCATTTGTTTGAATTTTTTAAATGAGTTAACACAAATATTATCTTTGACTGCCCACTCATCATATTGATGGTATGTCGACTCGACTGCCAAAATGCTCTTTTGTGGATTAATTGCATCTTTTTTAAACTCCCAGACCAAGATTAACGTCACAATTTGTAGCCATAGAACTTGTTATTTACCTGAACAGAACATTTCTTTCATACTCCAAATGATAATTTTAAGTAATGAACAATGTTTACTAATTAGTGCACATATAATTAATTATAAGTCTTTGATTTAAAAGCATTTTTTTTTTTTTTTGCTTTGCTTACTTTCAAGGTAATGGTTGGTATTGTCAAATACTGAAGATAGTTGTGGCGACTTAGAGATGACTTAACTACTCGAGGATTTTAAAATATTTTTGACGTTATCGTCTAAACTACGAGGAATAAATATGTAAATTTTAATCGAATGGAATTCGATCCCTTGTGACAGCGGAACAAATAAAAAATAAAGAAAACATAGAATGGGAAAACTTCCATCCGTACGAATTTATTCTTTTAACTGATATCTGTTTCGATCTCTGCAAAATGATGTAAACGGTAACGAATTTGTTTCTATGCATTGGGACAAAAGTATCAGCGACTCCTTTTCTTACAGATAAATTTCCTTTTGCAGATAAATTAAAGGCAATTAATGTTTTAATAAGTTTTCGATTCGCATTTCATACGAGAGGAATACACTTCCACATGCTTCGGTAATAGATATAAAATTTAGAAAAAATATTTTTTGTTTTTAGTTTTTCTTTTCAACCGGTTATCTCCTGAGCATGAGCACTTCGAGACTTCATTACTCAAAAGAGCGATACAACCATTCCTTTGCCTTTACCCGTAGAACATAATATCAGTAAAATATTCAACATTCAAGACTAACTCCCTAATCTTTCTTTAAAAATAGGCCCAAATGTATTTCGATAATAATAATAATAATAATAATAATACATTGATTAAGTTATTTTTTTCGTGTTCCTGATTACCATAAGAAGAAGAAATTTTGTTTTATTTCAAAAAAATTGTTTATATTGTATACAATTTATTTCTATTTTGTAAAAGAAGTTAACTTCGTTACTTTGTCTAGATTTCGCTTAATGCTTGATGTATGAGGCGTATGTAAGGCAGACAGAATATAGGCTACGCTCGAGTATAAATATTACATATACCCATTGCCAACTGCATTATTTTAACTTGTGCGCATAGGGAAATATAAATCAAGTTATCTAAGCATTTTAACATGCAATGTATTAATAAAGTTGCTCGCGGGTATTCACTAATTTCAACGTAAACATGCACACCAGTTGATACAAATATAGCAAATATTTATTTATTTAATGCTTTTTTCATGTTTTACTTATTGCTTAGCATACTATTCAATTTTTTTATTTTCTTTACCTTTAAATTTATTGTTTTTTTCTTCACATTGTATTACTTGTTCAAGGTGTATCAAGGTGATCCTAACCGCACTTCTTTAAAGAGGGTATAACTCCATTTTATTGGCCACTAATCCATTTTTAAAGAAGGCTTTATTATTTAGTGTTTTGTGCTTCTTTTTCATGAGCTCAGGAGCTTTTGTATACATTTTATATACATTGCACCATAAAAAACTATTGACTACAATTTTCTTTTGCAACAGCAAATAATGTGTGCACATAACATATATTGCTTACGTACGTTTCAACCTGAACATCTCACTTAAAACACAAGAACACATGGTTTTCTTCTTTTTTTTTTTTTTTTTTTTTTTTTTGTCAGGTTGATAGAGAACTGCATATACTTATCGAATCATAGTTTTAAAATTAGAAGAGAATGAGGTTAAGTTTCTTCAGTTTCACTTTTGAAAATATTCCGAAAGAATTGCAACAAATACCGCCTGTCAAAAAAGCACAGTCGTACGATTAGTAGTAAGCAGGCATGTTCAACGATTACGAGAGGTAAATGCATTGATTACATCAGGAAATTGGTTGCATCCAACCGATTCGCCTCAAATCCAAATACGATTAATTTTTTTGCTTTTTCTGCTTTCGTCTTTTTGTGTTTTTGAAAGCTCCATACATATTATCACGAAAAGTCTCGTATATGATAGATATGCGTTTTCATAAAGACGATTCAATTCTGTTAAAATTGGAATTTCAGAAAATATTGGGAAGATAGTGAAAGTAAATACACATTTTCGATGCGCAACCTTCGAAATCGTAAAGCAAGGGTGCACTGTGTGTGTGCACAGTTATCGAGCATTAAAAAGGATAGTCCAGCTCATAAGAAGGCTAACAAAAAGTTTAGAATGAATGAATTTTACACTCGAGCGTTGTCTGGAAAAACTCATAAATAAACGATTTCCTCCAACTAAAACGATTCAATCCTGGCCCTCAATGAAACAACGCGTACTCTTAAAAGTTTGTGCTCTTATGGAAGTGGACTGTTGAGGAATGATAAATCGATAATTACTTGAGTCTGAACAATTTTCCATAATTAGTTTTCCTTATCTTGCAGAACAATACTTGTGTGATTAGAAGCAAACCATAAGTGGAAGCGAGTAAAGTGATAAATGTTAGTAAAGGTCGCGGCTAAAAGACTTACGGCTTAAATAAATTAATTATAACCACTTAAAATGTAGGAATTGCACAGAAACCAAAAAATAACTCAGTATAACCCAATGAACGGAATGATATTATTGTTAAGTGTAGGTACAGCAAGGGGAAACCACAACAGAATGTAAATGAGTTCATTAAACTGTAAGAATAAATAAAAGTCTGTAAATGATAAATGCGATCTGTTAAATACTAATGGAATAAAGGCAGGATGCTATATGCATATCCGTACAACAGCATCCGTAATGATTTTAATAGAATTCAGTGACGAATCCAACAAAAATCGTTGTTAGGCAACATACAAAGCGCCTGGGAAGGAGTCTAAGTAGCTGGTAGTCTCTACATTACGATCACTTCCAGGTTATCACGTCTTTTTGTTCAGTTTAGGTAGATTAATGAGCATGAACACTATGTTCGAGGCAAGAATTACACTCTCAACGACGTAGAGCCAAAAATAGAAAGTTTCGACAGTTGTATCGACACAATTATGTCAATGTGACATCTGTAGCTGGATTAAAGAAATTCGCATCATTTCCGATATTACCAACAGAATGACCAAATTAACATACTTTCCAGCATTCGCAGGGAACGGCAAACCGCAATAGACATTTTATGTACACATATTCACTTTAAACTATTACGTACATAAGCTTAGAAAAGAAAACAAAAATTTTTTTTTTCGTTTTTATGAAAAGTTAACACACTACACCGGTGAGTGGAGGATACACAAAGACATTCGCACAAGCGTTTATATAAATTTACTCTTAATAAAGCGATAGATGCAAAAAAATAATTTGTGTAATTGTAAGAATACACAAACGCACGCAACACATGAAAAAAACATTTTACTGCTCGTTATAATAGTTGGCATTTAAATGAGGAGTAAACTGAAACCAAACAGAAAGAAGATAAGAATAGAATGACGTAGTGTATATGTGTTTTAGTGAGAGGTGTTAAAGAAGGATAACTTATGAATGAGCATAAGTTGCAATGGTTAGCAACTTTGTGCAAGAGTTAGATTGTCGGCGTTTCTGTGTGCGTTGATGCATGTGCTAGTCGGTCAAAAACTCGAAAGCCATTTTCATTTGCCCTAATTGTGCTTAATTACTTTCAAAACTTTTTTAACAAAAGTTGTTTGCTGTTTGAAAAGCGTAAAGTTGAAATTTTTCACAAAAATTTCCTAAAGTTTTTATTACATTTTCTCTTTTTTCCTTCTTCTCTTTTTTTTTTTTTTTTTTTTTATTTTGCTTTTCTATAAAGCAGAGGTCAAAACGGAATAAAAAAAAAAATTCAGGAGAAACTACAAATCAAATAAAAAAAGAAAGTTTTTGAAAAATATTTCAATAAAGAAAGAAAGACAGGAAAACATATTTTGAGCGGATAGGAAATCATTAGTAATAAAATTCAATAAGACGACTTTATTTGCCTTATGACGAACATCGGTTCTTTTATCGGTGGGCAAACACAACCACATACTAATCGGAATCAGTTTTGCACAAGGTAACTCGCCTCGATGCTAGATGTGTTATACAAGTGGATCAAATTGTATCTGTATTTGAATTCGGTTTAAAAGTTGAATATGTGTTAGGAATAACTTGGGAATGCTTTGAAATTTCAGTTGACTTCTTTAGCATATACTTTGAGGATAGTTGGCCCTCTACTCGTCAACTTCAAATTATATAAAATTGCATTTTATTTCCAATCAATTGATACTCGTTTAATGATTAAGAATTGATTTACATATATATACTAATTTTTTTACTGAACGTATAGTAAGCAGAATATATGGCAAACGTAGTATGAAATCATTTTATGGCAGCTGTGCGAATGTAAAAGTGGTTTGGACTTGAAAATTCCAATTGCCAAACCTCGTCTATGATATCTAGATTTCATCAGCATCATAATCATCATCATAACCGAATTAAAAAGAATTAAAACTTAAATTAAAAATAAAAAATTAAAAAGAAAAAAAGTTGCATTTACAATAACTGAACTCGTTTTTCATGGTAAACCAAATCAGTGCACAAACATTTACCAACTCACACTTATGTGTGTAGTGGCGCGGCTACGTATTCACGTATACGCTAAAGCAAATATTTACTTTTAACACCTACCTTAATTTCCAGTGTGGCTGGCTGCGAATCGAAATGGAATTTGGCACGAGATCCAAACACTTCTGGTGCTGACCAATGCCGCGCTTGGTCGCTGTTCATTTTATCTCGCACATCAAAACTGCAAAAGAGGGAAAATGAAAACTACTGCTGTAGTAACCGCATTCAACAGAATCAACTAAGTGTTACTAGCTAGCTTCCAATCAAAAGAAAAAAAGACATAAAAAAAACCAAAATAAAAACTTTCCTCCCAAATACAACAACAAATACATTTTTCTTTTATAAAACCATCTATCTATCGCTTCCTCTTCCTTCACTGCAAATTTAATTCATTTTATTTGATGGGTGTTTTTTTGTTCCGGCTGAAAATTAATGCAACATCCCCTCATCGCAGTCAGTCATTTAGATTGCCGATAATCATTCACTTTAAAAACCCCCCAAAAAAAAGAAAAAAAAAACAGGAGGAAAAAAAAAAACACAGTTAAAAATATAGGACGACATTGCTTGATTAAATGTGTCTGTAACAGAATAATTTTTTAATAAAGCAAAGCTTGTAAACGCAGCAAAAACTAATGCTAAGCAGTAAAAAGCGCCGTGTGGTCGATGATATACTGAATGCTTATGTTCCGACCGGACCAAAAAACCATTTAGTTAATGATGGAAACGGTGCTTACACACAAATGTCATCAAATTGTACACACATTGGCTATACATAGATCGTTCATACGATACTGGAGTAGCTATTAAATAATTCTTTGAAAAAAAAGGTTAATTATTCTAATTAATATTGTCGGACAAGCCGGAAGCGAATTTTTTTTTTTACTAAAATTACTTTTCGTTGTTGTTTTTTTGAAATTAATTTTGTTAATTACGATCTGTTTATACCCCGTATTACTTGTGATCCAGAGTATATTAAGCCAAGAATTGACATAGACCCACCCCTTTTATGTTATTCTATTATCGATTCAGAATCACTTTCCGAGTCGATTTAAGCTTGACCGTCCGTCTGTCCAGGTAATTTGTGTTCAGTCTACACGACGCAATGTGCGAGATATTTTGATGAAATTTGGCACATAGTAGATTGAACGCAAGGATACATGGGTGGACATCGGTTGGACACCCCACCCCACCGGGCAGACGGACAGACGTGCTTAAATCGACTTAGAGAATGATTTTGAATCGATCAGTGTAATGAAATGCACTAGTGACGTCCTAAAGATACTAAAGATGAAGCAAAAGCAATCCAGGAAAAAGAAAGTATCTAACAATCCCGCTCCATGAAAACTTACGGAAAATTTAAAGAACAAACGCACATTATGAAGGTAAGGATATCGCTGCGTCTACAAGAAACTTATTAAAGAAAACGCCATATTATTAGGGCCGCCATGTAACAATATATGTGTGTTGCGGAAAAAGTGCATTTGCTAGGCATGGTTGCCAATAAACTCAATAAATGCCATTAAGGAAAAGGGGAGGTAAAAAGTATGGCAAACAAAACTTAATGCTTTTCACTCTCGAATTTTTTTCTGTCCCTAAACAAGGCAGTCAGTCGACAATGATCTGCATATACATAGTTTTACGTGCATCTAAGTCATTCACAAGAGCTTGCTAAGTGGCATAAAAAGCTTGCAACTAGCTTATGTTTTCGAGCATAAAAGTAGTAAGTGTAAGTAAATTGGAAGTTGAAGAGGTTTTCTTTTTTTTTTCGATTAAAATATGCAACAAAACCCCTATGCGAAGAAGTCAAAATTGGAATCTAAACCTCGGTTGGTGTTGGCATCAAAATAAAATATCTGGTAAGCGAATTTTTATTTTTGCACAGAGCCACCTAATTTGTTGTCCGGAGAGTAAACGTAAATAAAACACTCTTCTAATTAAGATTTGAAACAAATTTTATTTTTCTTCCAATATATTGTTGGGACCTTGTCATTGTTTGTCACAGTCGTATGGTGTAGAAGAGTTGTTAAAACTTATTGCGAAAACATTAAGCTCGCGATTACGTTTCGTGCATTTGGCATCTAGCTAATGCGTCATTAAATGGCTTCGTAGAACTGTTCGTGCACGGAAATTAGCTCTTGGATGCAATTATAGGCGGAAAACGTTATTTTTGAAAATAAAAATGACATTGCAGTTACCCTAAATGGAGAATGCTACATAAACATGATTATTGATTTTTTTTATGACTCAAATTAAATAATTTCGGCCAGGACGATATGTGGTTTCAATAAAATGGCGCACAGTATGCCATTACCTAGCGTGACAAAATCAGTTTATCGGGAAAAGAGCTCAATGGTCCCCAAGAATGCCAAAATAATGGACCTATTTTATAAAATATTGAAATTTTACTTTGGAGCCTTCTAGCTGCACTCGCCAATAACGCACGAACGCTGAATGACTTTGTTCAGGAAGATTATTCGCGTTATTGGCGAAATAAGCGCAGATTTTTTGCCAAAGCTTGATATCCCAGAATTGATTTTGTTTAGTTCTTAGTGCGGCTAACAAAGACTACTACACACTAATACATATTTTCTCAAAGAAAAACAAAAAAGAACTTTATAAAAAATGTAAAATATGAGAAGTAGGGTAATGAGATGGGATTCCATAGCAACAATAGTCGTGAATTTATTAAAAGAGAACGATAAGCGTTTCGTATACTCCGCAATAGAATAGCAAGGCGCAGAGAGACAACCGTATTTTCGTGGAGATAGCTATGCCAATAGTAAAAATGTATTATTATTATTATTATTATTATTATTAATTCTAAGACTAAACTCTTAAAAGCACTAGCATCTAAGGCTATCGGCTTTTATTAAAAACTCTAACGCACTTGAGATTCGAACCCACGACCATTGACTTACTAATCGAGTTTCCTCGCCTTCGGCTACTGAGGCGAATAGTAAAAATGCAATTGTGACAATTTATGCTGAATTCATGTATTTAGAAGCTCAAGCTATTCACAAAGAAGCATATCGGAGAAGTCCTTGTCCGCTTCGTATTTATATCCTTAATATTTCTTTTTAAATATTTAGAAAAAGAAGTGCAACTAATTCTGGGGACTATCGATTTATTAAACACGGTCAATGACCATTGAGCAGAAGAAAAGCACAATATGCATATGCATTATAAGGTTGCTAGCAATATGACATGAGTCTCATCTTCATTTCGAAAAACAAAAAAAATTACTTATGTTAAACTTAACATTGCAAGAATAAAGAAAGGTAGAAAGAAAGAAAGGCAACAGAACCCTTACTGTGTTTTGAAGGTCATCATGTACTGCTTCGAAAACTACCACACTATGAAGCAAAATAGATGACTTCCTCGCCAAGCTACCGCTGTGTAAGATTGTAATTGCAACAAATGAAAAGGAAGAAGAACGAAATGTTTAACGTAAGCCATTTCTCATAACGGAATATCCTCAATTTAATATATGGTTTTATTTCAAGGGACTAAAAATTGAAACTTTTTTTTTAACGCCCCTCATTTTTTTTTTTTTTTTCCAAAAAAAAAAAAAAAATAAAAAAAAATAAAAAAATAAAAAAAAAAAATATATCCCTTCACGCAATTTATTATTATCATGGGTCTGCTTATTGTATATTTTCAGATTTATCCATAAAGATAAAAACAAATAAACGCTATCCTAAAATCAACTAAAAAAAAAAATCGTACTGCGATACTTACCTATATAATGGTATACCGGCATTATCACGAAACCACAATACCATATAAACATCATCCAACGGCGCCGATATGGGACATGGTAGTGACACAGATTTGCCCTCGACAGCATCAATATCTTTTGTCTTCACTGTACGGATACACATGAATATGCGTAAATGATCACAGGTTGTTGTTATTGTTTTTCAATGGAATATATATGCGTGAATTTGCGTTGAAAAACATAACAAATAACGAATGAGACGAGGAGGACAATTGCGGTTATTTTTAAGACAACATGCACGACCGCGCGATTCGCAATTAAAATTGTGATCATTAAGCCAACCAAGTAGAGTTTTGTTATTATATTTCGGGTTTTGTATCGGAAATGTCGAAATGTTTATGACATCATCATTTATGGAGATCATCATTATTGGCCGTCATTGTCAAAACAAACAAATTTTTCCGGAGCAAATTTAATTAATATGCCAACAGTGACAACAAAATGTTTACCACAAAACAAAAGAAAACAACAAAAAACAAACAATTAAAAAAAATTAATATACAAACGCGTGCCATATTTAGTTGTAACGTTGTTGTTATTGTTGTTTTTGTTGTTGTAATAATCCACCACAAAAAGAGCAGACCACCATCACCGCCAACCACGACACCACAATGTCAAACCAGAATAATACACGCAAACCATTTGATAGCCGAGTACAAGTAGTAATCATGTATGGTATGTAAATGTGGGTTGATGTGGGTATTTGTTTTATTCGTGTTGTAGGTTATAGTGTTATTTTTTTTTTGCAAAATTGTTTTTTTTTTTTTTTTTTATATATATTTGTCGATGGTGTTAGTATTGTGTTAATAATTATTTCCCATTGAAGTAGTTGTTGTTGTTGTCATTTTGATCATTGTTTACATTGTATTAATTGTTTACATAAACAAGCAGAATTCACGCACAAGAGTATGCACATGTGCCGTTATAATTAATGTAAATATTGTGAACACAAATGTGCCGTCGTGGAGGAAGAGATTAAGGCATTAAGCAACCAATCAGTCGGTTAGCAAGCACAAAATTCCGTGTATCAGCAGCAGTTTTGTTGTTGAACATGTAAATAAACGCAAGAGCAGAAAAAAAACGAAAACTTATTTTAATATTTTGTTAGCTTTTATATTACTTATCAAAGAGAAAAAAAAAAATTGAAAAAAATAAATAAATATGTACAACACATATGAACACATATATATATATATATATATATAAGATATTGAGAAATATTTCAGATAACATGTAAAAATTATTCGATCGCAAAATTATTGTTTTCGGTTCTGTCTTTGACTTCACTTTGCTGGACCCGGCCTCTTGAAGGCACTCATGGCAATGTTGACATTCTAGTACCTAGTAAAGTGTATTTAGATTGTGTGTGCATTTGCAACACAAACATGGAGCCATCTCTTATTATACCAAAAAATCGATTTAAGCCTTTCTATTTATCTGTCTAGTGGTATGTCTACCTATCTGAGGTATTCTTGTATTCAAAATACAATTGCTGCAATTTTCATAATATTTTGATGAAATTCTGCGCCTACTGACAAGCTACGACCCGAGTGCTTTGGATTAGATCAGACAACTTTTACTATCACTCATATGTTTTCAAAAAGCGTTGCACACATGGACGCAAACTTACCACAATTGGTATAATAAGTATCTTAGCAAGAACGACCCTCATCTGCTCTTTGCTAAGATGAGAATTACATAACAGAATTAAAAAACTGTGCTCAGGTTCCTTTTTTTTCTACTTGCACTTGAAATGCACTATTTCAGATACCCTTCTTACTTAAAATTCCCTTATCACCATTATTTGTTGTAATAATTAGTTATATCCGCAACGCTAATAATAGTGGGACGCTAGGGAGATAGAGAGAGAGAGAGAGAGAGAGAGAGGAAAAAGCGTTTACAGATTTCAAAGAAATTACAAAATATAAAATAATGCCGGCCTCAGTCTTCACACAAGTGACAACCTAGATGGTTGAATTTTGCATGGATTTGTTCCTATACGCAAAGCTTATCGATTTTTGCTTTTATTCATTACGAGGAATTTTTTAAAGCTTCCAAAGCTTCAAAATGATTGTATATTTTATAGCACCGGCAGATGAAGTCTCAAAAATCGTTAATAACTTTAATGAATTTTGCACAAATTGGAAATTCTCTTTTCAGCATCTTATCAAGTCAGCATCTTTCTGCCACAAAGATAAATTTTAGCCTTATGTGAAACCAGCGAAACTGGAGAGAAGTTAATATAACCAATAAGACAGTAGCATGTCCATAAACATACCATATAAACGGACATGTGTTGCGTACATTTGACCGCAAGAATAGGCAAGTAGTGTATGCCAGTGATTTCCTACCCCACTCTACTCCTCTTACCCTTAAAATCATTAAATTAAATTCTCGTTACTCGAGACCAATCGAGAACTTTTAACTGTTTCAATTGTTGCTTGTGCACACATGACTTCAAAATCTTCTAAATCACCGTTTAAATCGTCCTTTCATCAACTGCGTTAGTAAGTAAATTTTATTGATTTTTTAAGATTGATATGTCAACAAAAAAATGTGTAAATGGAACGTATTTGAGAACTGAATCGTGCTGAATCACTTTTTGGTGATATTACCTAACGGTCTCTTTCTCTCTTACAATGCCTTGGTTGCTGTGGTAGTGATTGTGCACCTTTTTTTAAAACATTAATGCAGAGAAACAAAAAAGAAATAATCTAGAGCATCTTTTTATATTCGTGCTTTGCTTGATTTTAGGTACAGCTTAATAAATGTCATATGTAGAACGCAGGCCATTGTTGCACGCGTTTACATGAATATTTATGTGCGTATGTAAATATAAAAGCATATGTTTGTAAATGAAAGTAAACTAAAGAGAACAAATTTACACTGAAAAAAATGATATGTAAATTAAAACAAATGTAATCTCGATCTCGATTTTAGACTACTGATCAACGGCAATAAGAATTTTAAGAACTTTTTTTTCGATTTTTTTTGGATCTTTAGACTACATCTATTTTCAAGGTTGTTTTTAAGCTCAGAATTAAGGTTAGAAAATCGGTGTAAAACGTTTCAAACTTTCTCTCTTTCAATCACTCCAGCAATTTCTAATGAATGGTTTTTTTTCGATATGTTACGTCTCCTTTAATGCTTTTCTACTGCACTCTTTCCACTTGCTTGTTAGTTTAGTTCAGCTTTCCAACATTTATTAAAGCTATAAAATTGGTTTGCATGAATATTTTCAACCTGATTTTTTTGAGTGTAACAATTAACTCATGCCTGCATCAACAGTTACTACATGATATCAATTGAAACGTCATTGTGTTCAATAGAGTATTGCAAAGAATATCAAATAAAAAAAAAAAAAAAAAAAAAATGCAAACCTTGGCTCACAAATGCGTGAACATGTTCTATTTACATAATAAAAATGTATATATATATACATGTATACGTATATATATACGTGCAAGAATGAATAGTATGGTCATAGGGTTTAAAGTACATTTAATAACATTTATATAAGAAACAACGTCCTATTCATTGAAAAAAGGGCAAATATTGCGGCATGTATTCAAAATATTGAAACTTTGCATTAAAGTGAACATTTTCTCTATAGGAGAAATCGTCATAACGAAAAAGTATGAAAGGCTTACGCCAAAAGCTTTCAAAGCCTCTATCATGGTTCTTTCGATTTGTAAAAAAAAACTTTGATCGGCTTTTGTGCAGGGTTTCGTACATCATCGAGTATTACTAGGTTATGGAAAAAGTCCCTTGAATTATACAAAAGTGACGATATTAGCTTCATCAATTTCTGATTTATTCATAATGATAAATAATAAATGAATGAATTTTAATCGCTTTAAAGAATCGAAAAATACTTGTAATGAAAATACTTGTATAATGACTACACATCCATCATCACAGATTTAAGAGGAAAGAAAATTCTTTGAAATTTTTTGCAACAGTAGCAGACAAATAATAATAAAATCTTTTGCAGCAATTGATGAAATGTTTTGCATCATACGTACTGCTGGTGGCCAAAACAAGGGAATGGATAGAGCCTCCAGCCACTTCATCTTCTAGAAACTCTTTTACCGTTCATCTATTTGCAAACAAATGCATTAAATACTCGCTGTAAAAAGTGCATTAAAATTAAAAGTAATATACAGACAAACCAATGCATTTTGACTTATTGAATTTTACTTATTGAACAACCTAATAATTTGCAATGTTTTCGGGTAATGTAATAAAAAATTACTCAATTGTTCACAACATAGTTTTAAATTAAGCAAAAAGATGGGCCGGCAAGTTTGCAAGCAGACATAAAAGATGTCATCTCATAGCAGATGGATAATTCCTACGCGTGAAGATCTGTTCATTCTATCTGAAACGACACATTTACAATGCCAGGTTAAATGGGAAAACATTATCGCTTTATCACAAACAGTTTTTACATTAATGAATGTTTTCCTGTAAAGCATCCAACAAATATATAAAATTTTTCCAACATTTTTATGCTCATTTAAATATAAATAATAAACGAACAGATGTCGGCCTGTCTACATGTTACTGCATATGACTTACATACAATTATCATTTATTATCCCTGTCCAGTCGTTTAGTGGAGTATATTTTAACCGCGTTGTTTTACACTCTTAATGCATAATGTAAGCGAAGTCGAAAGTACGTGAGTTTTACATAATCAACCCATTTCTCGCATGAAAACATTTTCTCGCCTCTCTTCATCATTTCTTTATTATTAGTGGTACTGTCATATAGTTATCAGCATCATTATCGCTTTCGTGGCCTTTAATGGCTACATATTTTCTTATGTCATTTCACTTTTTTTTTTCTCCCCATCATTATTAATATTTTGAAAAGCCGTTCAACAAAATAGAAAATTTTTCATTTCCTCTTTAAGTACTGTATTTTATTCAACTTTATTAGAAATTGAAAAGAGAGAGGAAATTTTTTATGCCGCCCTTAACAAAATAGAAAACATTTCCAAATGATTTTGCTCTCTCAAATAATCAATTTCTTTGATATTATCAAGGTAGTATTTGTGTATGATTGTGTAAAAGTGCTATGTG